AACCTTTAAGCATGGCTACCTTATTGGTGGAACCAGACTTAAGATGGCCAAAGGACTTTGCCTGAACCATTTCACCAAGTGAAATTGTAGAAGCATCCAATTTTGAATATGATGATTTAGAGCAATTGATGCAACAACTCACAGATGAATAGGATGACTTTGATTAACCTCTTGTAAGTGATTATTTGCTGAGATCGTCTTAGTTAAATATAGAAGAGTAGCTGCATATTTGCTATCAGGAAGAGTGCTCCATTATCTTCTATCGTTGCATTGAAGAAGTGCTTGAGGTGAAGCTCCTTGATCTGTTTGGTCTGCATCATCTAGATGATCAAGCCATGGAACTCATCAAGCAACAACACTTAGATTTCCCTCTTCTGATTACGCGCCTCGACGACTTTTCCAGATCCAACCTTGGACAAAATTCTTTCAAAATGAGTCCCTATTCAAGATTGTCCAACACTTAGACTATAAAGGGAAAGAATGCAAGGTTGAATACATCAAGGATACGAGGTATTTGCATTATGCTAAGGCACATCAATTTGTGATGCCTCCAACATGAACAAAAATTACCCCATCATCACAATGGGTCACGGTATCTTGCAAACTCCAATCCCTCCAACCACTTGCCCTTTTCAGTATCAAAACTAAAATCTATAGTCAACATTCTAGTATCAACAACCCAACAGTCCATCCATCAATAACATCGCTTGTTGAAGTCAACTTTGATGAGGTGTCCTTGGACTAGTTTTTTGTTCCCGACTTTTATTGGTGCTAAAAGGGGGAGTACAATTTTTAGTTTTTGAATTTTTTTAAACTATTGTTTTAGGCTTTTCCATACTTCAAAAACTATTGCTTTATCCCAAGGGAGTTTATTTTATGAAGTTTATACATATATTCTCTAACTGATATACTTTTGCTATGATGTTTATACATGAATTTTTCTGATATACATAGTTTGATAAAATGCATGAATACTCATATATATGCTTTGATTAAGCTCTGAATGGCTATAATAAAAATGGACATATAATTTGTCTGAACATATCAAGAATATTTATTTTATATATATATATATATATATATATATATATATATATATATATATGTGCTCAATCGTCTGTGGAGGGGACAAGTGAAGAAAGAAGTTTGTCTTCCCATTGACCAAATTTTCAGCTATCTTAAATGGAAGTACCCCAAATTAATAGCAGTCCCTCCAAGACAAGTGTAACAACTAACAAGAGG